TTTTTGGTCAAGGTACTGTTCCAGTCGTTTCTGGATAATCTTCATCTCAGGATTTTGCTTGCATGTGATATGAGTGATATTGTTTGATAACTTTGACACTCTGCCAAGTTACCTTTTCTTGGAAGGGGAATAAATATGGATCTTTTCCAGTCAGTTGGAGAGTAGTTATCCTCTAGATTTCTTGGCACAACCCAGTATGCATGTCCAGGGCAGCATCTGTTTGTTGAAATATATCAATTGGTATTCCATCAATTAGTTGGTGACATTCCCATTTCTGAGGGAAATTCTGCCACAAACCTGAGTTATTCTTTTCATTTTCCCCTTCTTGGTAAGCAAGAAAAAGAGTCTAATCCAATTACGCCTATCCAACCCTCCCAATATATAGTTGTAAGTCTTCATTTCCTTCTTACATTGGTATGTTTTATTACTGTTACTCTTATTTTTTGGAAGATTTCCTATTATCATATTAGAATGCCCTCAAATAAACCTCTCCTCCACCTTATCGTTCACCCAAACTTAGAATCACTTGGTGGGTTTGAAAGTTCTTTCTTGTGCAGAGTCAAGTATAAACCTTTTTGTCATACTTGTTAGTAGGTGCCATTGAGTCAAGTATGATCCGTAGGCTATACCTAACCCAAGATATATCTAGTTGTTCTTTTGGAAATCCATGTGATATTATTCAGTACTCTTATAACACCACAGATCCAAGACATTAATTCTTCTGTCAACCTTACTCTCTGTCCTGCTCTAAGATGAACAGCAAGTGATTGAAAAGATCATGGCCTTAATCTAGTGCACCTTGGTCCCCAAACTTGTGGATCCAAGTAACATTAAGTCATCAACAGTTTCAATCTTTTCTTGATCATAATATTGTGTACTGGTCAAGAACGGTTCTGTTGGTTCTCTTGAGATGCAATCCATATTGGAAGTTGTATTCTTTCATATTTTGTAGCAAGTACTTCAAGTCCTTAGCAAGCAAGGTTGTGTCATTTATATTACATAGGTTATTGATGTATCTTCCTCCAATCTTGAGAAAATATTCTTCTTCACAGAGTCCAGCTTCTTGAATAATTTGCTCAGCACACAGACTGAACTGCTATGAAGAGAGGATACAACTTTGATGCAAACCTTTCTTAATTTTAAATCACATGGTGTTCCCTTTCTCCTTTTGGATAGCAGTTTCTAGGTACAGGTTTCACCTGAGGGTGAACAAGTATTCTGGGATTCCCATTCTCCTCAATGCTAGCCATAATTTATCATGATCCACACAACCAAATCCTTTTGCCTAGTCAGTAAAACACAAACAGACATTCTTCTGGTATTCTTTTCTTTCAGTCAAGATTCATCTGACATTAACAGTGACATTCTTGGTGTCACTGCCACTTCTAAACCCCACTTGAATTTCTGGCAGTTCTCCATCTATGTACTTCTCTATCCATTTTTTAACGATCATCAGCTGTATTTTAACTGCATGTGACATTAACGCTATTGTTTTGACAACTTCCACATTCTATTGGATAACCTTTCTTGGTAATGAAAATAAATATGGATCTCTTCCAGCCAGTTAGCCAAGTAGCTGTCCTCCAAATATACTGGCAAAGTCTGGTGAGCATGTCCAGGGCTGCATCTGTTAACTGAAACATGTCAACTAATATCCCATCAATTCTTGGTGCCTTATTTTATTTTTTATTTTTGCCAATGCCTTCAGTCCAGTTTCAACTTCTTCCTTCATTACCTTGGCTCTTGATGACATGGTACTTACTGAAATATTTCACTGTCAACCAATTTGAGGCTTGAATTTGTTTTTCAGGTCTTTCAAGCTTGAGAAATGTCACATGAATTCTTCCCTTTTTATTCTCCATTTTCTGCACTCTGCACATTTCATTACAATAGTTGGTCTTCTAGAGCAGCCCTTTGAAATCTTTTGTTCATCTCTTGTACTTTGGCATTTCTTCCTTTTGTTTGGCTTCTCAATGCTTTAGTATCAGTTTCAAAGTTTCTTCTGACACCTATTTTCATTTTTTTCTTTCGCCATATGTCATACTCTGAGTACACAATAAATGGTAATAATATTCATGCTTTACTCTTCTGTTTATTAATGAGCTAGCTCTCTTCCTAACCTATTTTTGATCTTTCCAATAATATGTGAATTCTTATTTCTTTATACATGAACTAATTTTGCATTTTATTTTTACAAATAAAAGCAATTCATTCTGAGGCATTAATTCATCTCTAAATTAACTTATCCCACAGCCCTCTATGAATCACTTCTTGCTGTTGATATGTGTCATCAAGTTGGGACTGACTCATCACAGGTTTTCTGAGACTGTAAAGCACATGGGAGATGATTGTCCATATTTCTCCCGCAGAGCAGCTGGGGGATTTGAGTGTGTTTGGGTTGGCGGTGCAAGTCCGTACCCAGTAGACCACCAGAGCTCCCTTATTTACTAAATATACACAAAATATATGCACATAATTTTAGTTGGATTCTAAGATAAAATCAGATCTAAATATTTTAGTCTTCTAAGAGCTTATGTTTAGAGACTGGGAAAAAACAACCCTCACATATTTTTTTTTAATTTAGTATGCTTAAGAGGAACACAAAACAGCAAGATTAGTAATTATGAAATTGTACTAAGAGTCACAAAAAGTGTAATGAGATGTTTACAACCACTATTCAATAAGTGTATATAGATGATAAGCTCATTTCTGAATGAGTACACATCTTGAATGTGAATTTGATACTTTTTATACTTAAAATACATTTCATATGTTGAGAAAAGCAATTAAAGGCAGCCATTCTATGTGATTCTATTATTCTACTCTCCTTTTCTTCGTACACTTTGTGGTCTTATTGATGAAGCCCTGTTTTAGAAGAACAATTTTCATGACCACTTGGGATCAAGCCCAACTCCCCCTGCTCCCTCTCTTGGGATGGGATTCTCTGACTCACCTCTCATACAGTTTCCCAACGGACAAGTTTAGTTTTCATTAATTCATTCAGTCACTCATTCATTATAAACATTTATTCAGAGCTTACAATGGTTAGGCATTTAGTTAGTTGCCTGGGAGACTCTGAGAACCAGACAGAATCAATTTCTGTCCAGGAACATCATCTGACGAGTATACAGGGGGCTCTGATGGCCTAGTGGCCAGTTGTGTTGCAATCTCAAAAGGCACATGGTCTGAATCCACAGCTACTCTATGGGAGGAGAATGGGAAATCTCCTACTATGTGATTTACAGCCTCTGAAAATACACTGGAGGGTAACCTACAGGTCAGTTTTGATTGGATGGCATGCAACATAGGCATAAGTTATTTGTCTATGATTCCTTGAAGATGTAATATTTTTTTTTCTTCCAAACAAGTGGCTTGGATTTCTCCTGATCATAATGCATTCTCCAAATGTCAGAGAATGAATGCCACAATTGAAAACCACAAAGTTAAATGTACATGTGCCAAAACAGAATCTCAACAATGCAATTCCCAAAACAAACAACAGGGAGCATTACTTGAGCCATTAACCCTCATTCAGCAAGTGACTGTTTAATCATTCAATGAGATTGGTGAAAGTCTGGCAACTCAAACATCCATTAGAGAGGAAACAGGTATGCTGGTCATAAGGCTGGAGAAAAGCAATATGAATCTGCAGGAAAAATATTATTTCAGCCTGGATATTTACTCAGAGAATAAAACGTCAGAGCAAAGGGTCTATTCATTCACATTAGATGACAGAAATAAAAACAAGCCTGAAGAATAGTTAAGATGAGAAGTATAAAAAAAAATTAAGGTGTCATTCATACTTTGGACATGTGATCAAGAGCATGACTGATTGCAAAAATTATGATGTCTGATATGACAGGGGTAAAGAGCTGGAGAAAGAAGCTCTATAATTATCATCTTACTGTGTTATTCCTAATTGCTGGAAAAGTATGTTCTATAAGTCAAAAAGTGATTTCCTCTAGGAGTAAAGAGAATAAAAGATGCAGCTTCCCCAGGGGAAGGTGCAACTGAGAGAGAACTCTCTGAGGCAGAGAGAAAATCAATAGGATAGTGACCTGAAAGGGAAAGGCAGGGCTCACCACAGGATTGATCACATCTGTAATTATCCACAAAGAGTCTATGAGAGGGCAGGGCAGAAGTGTGGATGGAGGAAGAGGAGATTACACTAGTTTGCTGTTGTGGATACACATGCTGGGGAGTCCAAGGGGAACAACAAATTATAACAGCCAGTTTGCAGAGCTCAAAGAGAAGACAGAGCAGGTTTCTGCTATGCTAGCTATTCCTCCAACAGTCTGCAGTTTGGGTGGACAGAATGTAAAAAGGAGAGAGGAGATATATAATCTGTCTTTTTGGTGCTTCTACTCACGTTTTTGTAACAAGGCCTCCCTGCCAATCATTGTAACTACCTGTCATTGGTATATATTCAGAACGTCCTCTACTAAAGATATTCGATATTGGTTAAACAAGTCATGGCAGGTAGAATTCTGCCTTGACAACATCACCACCCTGTCTAAAGAGTTTTGGAACTTTATGTCCTTTCTCTTTAGGATGGCAGAGAAAAACTGTTTTGCCTCTCCTTTTGTTTCAAGATCTACAAATGAGGTACTGTTTCTAATATTTTATGATGGTAACACCCAAATAAAACAGGATTAGTCATTATTCCTCTATGGGTTTTAGTATATTTTAGTTCAAATTTCCTCTATTCCCCTAATTTATTTTCTGGTCTCAAAGCTGGTCTAAATAAGCAGTGAATTGGTTTGTTTTGTCTTTGTAGCTCTTCCATACAGGCTAAATCAGGACTAACCCTGCTTCATGTTCAGAATTTGAGATATATGCAATGAATTAGATATGCTCAACTCAATTATATAACAGCTTCTGTGAACATAGTGACATCTGCTTGATAGAAAACTTACTAATATACTTTGTTTCTAAATTTTGGTATCCAGGATGCTGTAGAGTTCTGGTTAAATATCACAGCTTGAATTCTATAAACTTACCAGTGCATGAAAGTAACAGTGTTGATACAGGCCACAATTACACTTCTTGAAACTCTCTCTCTTTTTCTTGCAACATACTGAAAAACAAGAAGAAAAATGATTATTCCCTTTTGGATAGCAATGAAGAAGTACACCATGATCTGGACATTGTAAAAAGCAGTGTTTTCTACAAATCCAGTAGCAAAAGATTGCAAAATTGCAGCAAAAGCTTATCTCTATAAATTATACTCTGGGGAAGAGTGTATCTATCCAGCATAGTCTTTCCAAGTAGTCTGAAATATTATTTGCATGTTCACATTTTTTTAAAACCCACTTAAAAACATCACTGCTGCTGAGTCAGAACTAGCTCACAGCCGATCCTTTTGTGTGTTAACAGAAGCTGTAAACTGCGAGGGAGGAAAATGACCATCTCTCTGTGTGTATGTGTCTCTTTTCTCTCTCTCTCTCTCTCTCTCATCCACTGATGGATTCAGACCACCAGAGAGGTATCACCTTTGTGGTCAGCAAGTGGAACTCTCTATAGACTATGCTGCCAGAACTCACTAGTCGTTCTAAAAAATGCTTGCACACACATAATATATGTGTATGTATATACACTGACATGATATAAAAGAAGGCAATGTTGTACCAAGTAAAAAAAAAAAAATGATAGTTGAATGTAAACAAAATTGCAAGTCCATGAAATATGGAAGAGCTCTGGTAGCCTAGAGGTAAGAAACTGCACTGCAATCCTAAAGGGACACAGTTTGAATCCACCAACAGCTCGCAGGAAGAAGGATGAACAACATTCTCCTGTGTGATTAACCATCTCTGAAAACCCACAGGAGGGTCAGCTATGGGTCAGTTCTGACTCGAAAGCAAACAACAACAGGGTCAACTACAGTAAATGAAAAGGCATTCTAAAGACTTTTTAAAAAAAATGTTTCTGGAGAAAATACTATATATCCTGAAAAACATTAAAGGCTCTGTAAACCAGAATGAAGTAAAAATATATCACACAAGAAGAGAACAATCACTTCAAATATCTTGAACCAAAGGTGTTTAGGAATATGTGACAAAGGCTGGACAAACATGATGACTTCTGCCAAAAAGAGCTAAGCTTAGGAATAGAGTCTGAACAGGAAGAATCAGCATGTCTGATAATGGTATGGATCAAACCTGCCCTCAGATCTCCAGGACCAGGAGTCTGCATTAGACTACTGTTTCCAGAAATGAAGCAATCACCATGGCCACTTCTCAAACCATGACTAGGGCCACGAAGACAAACATGTGACTGAATCCCAAAGGAAAATACAGATGTAAGGCTGAAGAGAGAGGGAGAGGCCGGACACATGAATGAGACGTAGGAGACAATGGTTGAGAGCTGCCTTCAGGAAAGTCAACAATTCCTTAAAGATGTTATTGGAAAACTTTTCTTTAGCTGTGTGTAAAAATAACCTTACACAATATTGGAAGGTAAGGAGAGAAGAAGAAAACTAACAAATAGATAACAAATACTCATTAAGAGATGAAGATAATGACAACATGGAATGAATGGACAATAAAAACACTATGAATGTTGTAATTAATGCTATGCAGCAAATGTCCATGAATTATTGTTTGAAAAAAACGATACATTTTATAAACTTTTGTTCAAATCCGTTTTAAAAATATTTTTTAAAAGATGTCATATATATGTGTAAAGATGTCATATAAGACACTAGTGTCTGGTACAACCACTGTGGAAGGCGGTATGGTGCTTTATCAAAAAGTTGCAAATAGAGATACAATTTGACTCAGCAATTCCACTACTGGGAATACATCCCAAAGAGACCATATGTGACAACCAAGCAGATATATGCACACCCATGTTTACTGCGGCTTTGTTTACAATAGCAAGGAGTTGGAAACAACCCAGGTGCCCATCAACAAACGAATGGATAGAGAAGCTGTGGTATAGTCACACAATGGAATACTATGCTGTATTGCAAAACAAAGAACTCATGCAATATTATTCAAAATGGGTGAGCCTGAAGTACATTATGCTGAGTGAAATAAAAGGACAAATACTGCATGGTGCCACTGCAGTAAAATGGGACTGATATCAGGGTTGGGGTAAGACTGAGAAAAACTGGATAAATTGTGTATACTGCATTGAAACAGATGAGGGAGAGAATAATTTAAAAGTGATAGGGTATTGTGGTTGTCAATGTGGACAAGAGTCCACAATTAAGGTTGCATAGTGGAATGTACTTGGGGCGGTGGGAGGAGTGCGGGGGCATTGTGTACCAGGGAGGGTGTTTTTTCTTTTACTTTTCAAAGAGAGGAGCCAACTGGGGGGTGGAGGGGGCGCTGGGCGGGGAGAGAAGTGCAGCAATGAATGAATGGAAATCCAAAATATCTGTAAATATTAAAATAAAAAAAAATTTAAAAAGTCATATGTATATGAAACAGCAATGTTGAACTTACGTATATTCACATTTAAGACAACACAGTACCTTATCTCATTATCCTCTTCATTGATCTTTCTACTTTCACCTGCCCTTGTAAGATTTGGTTGTTTCTTCTGGAAAAGTAATGAATGACATACATATTACAAAAATACCAACAAATGCTATAATATGTAAGATGCTATTGGTCTCTAGTTTTAATTTTTTTTATTTCTAATAATACCAACACATTTCAGTGTGCAAAATATTATTTCATATAAAAATATGAAAAATTGCATGGCATTATTGACCTAACATTTTTAGGATGTTAAAAGTAGAAAATAAGGGGAGCTCTGGTGGCCTAGTGGCAAGGAGCTGCAACTACAATCCCAGAAGCGAACGGTTCAAATCCACCAGATGCTCTGCCGGGGAAGGAGGGACAATCTCCTCCTGTACCAGTCAGATCTGATTTGATGGTACACGCACACAATAAAATAAAAAACAAACAAAAAAAAGAGTGGATAGACAGTGAACGTTACACTGGAACAGATGAAGGAAGAACTGCCATGGGAAAGTCTGCTGTTAGGGACCTCTCCAAAGTGCTGAAGAGCAGTGGTGTCTCTCTGGAGACTAAGGTGCGTCTGATACAGGCCAT